CCTGCTGAGATCTGACTGCAGCTTCCTCTGGGGCCCACCATCACAGCTCTTAGATCAGCCAGAGCGATCTCTCCTGAGTGAAGCAGGTCACTCCCTTCCCCACCATGCTGAGCTCTTTATCTCTGCCGCCCCCGCTACCCTGGGAAGCTGTGGAACCGGAAAGCAGAGCCAAGCCCCCTGCACGGCAACTCAGATGACACACAGCCTTCGCTGTGTTGTTGAGTTAAGGAAAATAATTCCCTGGGCAGCCCTTCTGCACGCCTCTGGGCCTTGCTATGGGCACTGAGAGATGCTGTCACGCAACTACCAGTGCTGTATGAGACCTCACAGCTCATGGCAGCACAGTGCCTTTAAAGGGTTATTGCAGGAACCTGAATTTGGGGACTAAAATGACAAACATGTCTAAAAGTTTCAGACTGCTAGCAAGCTCTGCATAGGAGCTGCGGATGAGGACTGAATGCGTTGGCAAGAATCCGTGCAGGGTTCAACCTGGCAGCAGCAGGCAGCACTGAAGAGCGCTGAAGGTCAGGACGAAGGGTCACAGGCTGAGCTACAGCAAGGACCGCTTCCCTCCAATGGCAAAGGACACTGCAGGCTACGACGGAGCGGCCTCCAGATTCCTCAGTGCTCTGTGGCACTGGTAAGAGTAGGGCTCAGTGGCGTGGGCTGAGTGGGGCAGCTTTCACAGCACCTGCTTGAGAAAATGGATTTCACCAGCTCCATGAAATACCAAACAAAATGTCAGAAGAGGAGCCAAGAATGCAAGTGTCAAATGCAAGGCTGGAGGAAACAACTTTGTAAACACCTTGTTCCTGCGTTCTCCTCCAGCTCTGTGCCTGAGCTCTCCACGGTCACTCTGGGCTGAAAATAAACCAAGCCCTTGTAAATAGAGGCTAGCAACAGAGCTTTCTTTAGAAAATGCAGGTGTGGAATGTGACCTTTTCTCCATCATGTAGCAGGCCCGCATGACCCTCAATCAGCTGGTCTGCTAGGTAGCAGGCTGCTACAGCTGGACAACTACAGACATTACTTTGAGTAACTGTTGTCGAAGAATGGCAGCTTTGTAGACTTGGCTACACAGAAGGGGAAAAAAGGAAGTTGCTATGGATGTAACACAGAACATGTTAACACACTGGAACCGGACTAATACAAACAGCGTTCAAAACCCCATCAGGTACGACACCAAGTTGTGTGTCTTCAGAGCAGAAAAGCAGGCTTTTCCTTCTCTGATGAATCAGAGGTAATTGCTCTACATGCTCAAAACACAATGACTCACTACAAAAAAAAAAAAGAATAGCTCACAGAGCTATTACTCTGTGTTTTCATTACGCACTTGACATTATCAAGTAACTACTCATACAATGCAAAGTTGTACATGATCTTAGCAGAAAAGGCCAGCGCATCATCCTTATGCTATTATTTACATGATGACGCTAAGATTTCAAATACCAGTCAAGATCAGAGACATTCTCTGAAAACATCTCATGGGACCAGTAAAATGGGGTGGAAAGAAAACTGTTCTGTCAGGAGAGGTGTGGAGATACCAAATCATTGAGTGACCCTTCAGAATTGTGCCAGATAAGCATGACATGGCAGCTAATATAAAATAAGGAGACTTGGGAATACAAAGGGCAAAGCCTCTGCATGGAAAAAAAACCACAGACAATTATCAGAAGTGACTGGAAAAAATGGGCAGAGGTGGGGAATGTGCTTTTTCACCATTGGATCCCGCAAGATAGGTTTTTCAAGCACTTCAGTTTAGTGGCTTCAGGTTGCAGCAAAGCCCTGTTGAACATTTACTCAATGCGGAGGCACTGCATGATTTCAGCAGTGGCTGATGAGCAGCACTTAATGAGGCTCTGCAACAAGCTGCATTAGCAAAACCTCATGGTGCACATTTGCACAGTACCTGCCAAAACCAACCCTGCCTTCCCAGCGCTGTCTGCCCTTCACTTTTCCTTCAGCAGCAAAATGAATCTCCAGATGAACGTCCTTTAAAGAAACAATCCTCACCAAACACAGAGATGAGTGATTTTTGGTTGGGGACGGGAGATTACAAAATATAAAGGATGCTTTATGTCTTTAGGACCCATTTGCTATTACAACAGACAACAAATCCCTCCTTGCACACCACAACACAGCCTTCACTGCACAACAGCATGACCCAGGTTAGGATTTTCACAACCTGTGCCCTACAACAGAATCACAGAACGGTTGGGATTGAAAGGGACCTTGGGACATCATCTAAGCTTTACTCCCAGGAGGCTGCTGGCCTCCTTTGCCCCCAGGGCACATTACTGGCTCATGTTCAACCTGCCCACCAGGACCCCTGTGGCCTTCTCTGCAAAGCTGCTTTCCAGCCAGCCAGTCCCCAGCGTGGGGTTATTCCTCCCCAGGTGCAGGACTTTGCATTTCCCTTTGTTGAATTTCATGAGAGACCCGTTTTCCCATTGCTCCAGCCTGCCGAGGGCCCTCTGAACAGCAGCACAACCATCGAGTGAGCCAACCATTCCTCCCAGTTTCGCATCACCTGCAAACTTGCTGAGGATGCACTGTCCCATCACCCAGGTCATTAAGGAAGACGTTAAACACTATTGGCCCCGTACTGCCATAGTCAAAGTAAAGGCTTTAGACTCAGTTGTGTTTATAGAGACTAGCCAGAGAAAAAAAAAAACCCAAACCTTTCCTCCACCTCCCACTCCCGGGGATGTATTTTGTTCTGTGCTGTACCCTGACACATCGCTTTTGCTGTGTCTGCAAGAGGAATGACACCTTCACAAAAGAGCCATAGACATGTGGCTAAACAAATTAATGACGTTAGGGCACACAGACAAAATGCAATAAACCGTAAAAGATGCAAGCTATTTACTACCCAATAATGCATAAACAGAGTTAGCTAATTTTGTATAGAATGGGGAGCACCAGGGAGGGTGCAAAGATTGAAGCAGCCTGGAAAATATGTGGATTTGTTTTGATGGAAACTTTATTACTTGCTCTAGTGTAGAATCAGGTGTGGAAATGACTTCATTGCAATTATACAGTTACATAAAAAGACTAAATAATAATCAGAAAAGAATCTGCATTCCTTGTTTTATTAGATGAAAATGCTGATCTGGTTTCAATTATTTAATAGACTGATACAGTTTTAGCCCATTGGCCTTACTGATAAGATCAGACTGCAAATAAATAGAGAACAGTGAACGGAAAGAATAGGAATCACAGTTCCATCACTGTTTTTCAGGATACGTTTCAGGGTATTTCCTGTACATTCCAGTACGTTTTACAATATGAATTTAGAGCAGAACAACCACCCATTCCAGTGTATAATTCAAGTTCTGACAAACAGACACACATCGCTGCAACAGTGCAACAGGAGGAGCTGCACTAGTACCTGCAGCACAGAGGCTGTATGGCAGTACAACAAAGCAGCTTTCGCCCAGTCTTTTCTTTGGCTAGCATCTGGTTCTTAATTCTTTCTTTGTTTAATTAATAATGGTAACCGCAACTAAAGAGGCTATCAAGGCCAAAAGAATGCTGAACCCTTCAGTGCTAACAAAGGTAGGCATGCTAGTGCAAGATTAAACAGGGTCAACATCAATGGCCTGTCTACACTGGGATTCCCCAAGAGCTGAGTCAACAGAAGTGCTGCAGCAAAGTGAAAACTGCCTGCACAGGCAGCGAAGGAACAGAGACTCTGCTCCCACTGAACTGGAAGAAACTGAAGGGCTTCACCATCTTTTAAAATCAAGTTCTCAGAGGAACAAAAGGGAAACGTACACTACAGAAACTGATTCAGTGAAAAGAGAATATATACGAGCAGACAACACCGATTTAGCTTCTTATTTGAAGCTGCAATTCCTTATTCCGACACCCAGCTGCACAACATACCCTGCGCCTTACCAAAGAGTGAGAGAGAAAAAAAAGTCACTGAGAAGACAGGAAGAAAAGTTATCAGCACCTCTGAGATCAGGGCAACATCAGTTAAAGCAACACAGCTAGGACTTCTGGAGCTCAGGATTTTAAAGTAGTCAGAAATCAGTGCGTACATGGGAGAACTTAGCAGTATCAAGTTAACACTGACACTGGTTGAGAGCACCACTGATGCTGGTTGAGAGCATCAGCTGGGGAAGAAGCCCACACCACGCAGCAGCGCAACAAACTCTTAGTGCAACTCTACCAATTACGTGAAACCTACGCCATGTCACAAACCTTCCACGTGAGCTTTTGACAGACACATCATTTGTGAAAAATCAACTGTATAAAATGAGCTTGTCAAAAGCACACATAGGAAGATTCACCTCTGTTACTGATAGATGAGTGACTGCTGATTATAGCTTAGATTTTTAAGTTACTACCAACTTCAGAGGCTTAAAGAAAGCACTGAAAAAATTAATACCATCAGATTAATGGCTGCATGTCAGACCAGGGGGGAACAGAAACCAGGGTTACTTGTTGTGTTTTGTCCAGGTTCTTATCACTTTCTGGCAAACCGTACATTTGCCTAAAGCAGCAACAAGCAGTTTTTTCCATCTGTATGTAAACCACAATAGGCAAAAACCAAATTCCAGACATAGCTCAATACGCAACACACAACCGCATCTTACGGCCCAGAGCCCTGCCATCCCAGAGTCCACCTTAGCAGCTGCTCCTCTCAGGCGTGTTTCTCACAGCTCGTGGGAGTCTGCGTGAGGCTCCGGAAGCTCGTCAATGTCACAGTTCTTAATCAGCTGAAAGAGGAACTCGATCTGTTTCTCGTAATTCTCAATTGAGATTCTCTCATTCAATCCATGGATCCTGGTAGAAAGAAAAGAATGTTTTTCATTCCAGTGTGCATTTGTGACTCACCTGCGTATAGCCAGCACCCTCCTTGCCTGTTCACTTCATAAAGCAATGCCCAACACAAAAATGCAGCAATACACACCAAATACTGCACTGTAACTGCGATGCCTGTTCCTCGGGCCAACCAAATTTACTGATTCTAAGGCTCAGAGCGTAACAACTAAGTCCATGGTGTATGTGAAAAAGAAAAAACAGTATTCCAGCTCTCTGCCCATTTCTTGGCCATTTATATCACGGTCCTGTACAGCTACAAGAACACTCTACTCCCTATCACCCGCACCTCAATAAAATGCCAAATCTATTACATGCTGAATAAATAAACAATCCCTTGCATGATGATGTTCTTTGTTATCACTTTATCCAAGGAAACCAAACTTCCAGCTTTAAGGAGCAAATAAATTCAGAGTAGCATGTGTCCAAACGTACAGATAAATCTCTTAAACAAGGCCAACTACCAGAACCACACCTTTCACACTGCTGCACTACATAAAGGATCCGGTCAGCTTGACAGCATTGCTGTATCACCGAATGGGACGCCTAAATGAGGTCTTGCCTGCATTTGAAGTAAAGGAGAGCGAGGGCTAACACTCTCCCAGTGTAATTACCACCCCCTATTTGTGTAGCACCCAAACCTGCAGGAAATGGGTGGCCTAACAAAACGTGAGGCAGCACCACCACCACGCCAAGGTATACAAGGCTGGGTTTCCTTCTTCTGCCTAACGCATATCGATTTTCTCTTTTGCTAGTCCCCACCCCAAACAGCTGCCCACATGCAGACAGAATACAGTACCTGGGAAGATCATCCGATTTCAAGAGCAGTGGGTTAAATCGATAAATGGCATTTGTGACGTTAGTGAAATGCCTGCTGTCTGTGTTTCCAATGCACGTGCCTGGAAAACAAACCTCAAGTTTACTTTGCATGAGAGCAGCATTTTAATGACCCACACTTTTCCCAGGAGAAAGGAAAGGCATCTGATAACAGTTCTATATGTGCCCTAGCTACACCAAAAGCAAAATCACTAGAGACAGTTTATTGGTACATCCTGGAAGAAGAACATTCTCTCTTTCGTGAACAGGAGGAGCTGAACATACAATTCAATCATTCAAAGGACAGCCATGATACTCAGCCTCTGCAGAAGTTTAAGCGTCAAACTGCACTCTATCAAACAGCAGAGAACTAGGAAGGAGCTGCGAGAAAGGGAAGGGGCTGGGGTCATAAGGAACAATACAGAAAAGCA